CAGCCCCAGATTCTTAGGTTAGTCTAATTTTCATTTTGCTCTTCTTTCCTGATTTTCTTTAGGAGGACACCAAAGGCCAGCTACATAATTTGGGGGGCCCAGTACAAGATGAAAATGTGGAGTCCCTATTCAAAAATTCAGAAAAACATACTATAAATATAACAAAAATATAAAGTATTTTCTTATCATCAGTGGTTTCTGTTTCATCTTTTCAGGATGATTTTTATTAGCTATTTATGTTATTTAAGCAAAGTAAAATTAAAAATAATAAATTATTATCATGAATGTTACCATTTATTTTATATTGTGCACTGCCACTTTAAATTTAAAATTTAAATATAAGAACACTTCATTTATATGGAATTATCAAAGATAATTTATATTTCGGGAGCTCTGGTAGCATAGTGGCTAAGACACTTGCCTGCTAACCAGACAGCTGGCGGTTCAAACCCACCAGCCACTCCTCGGAAGGAAGGTTGGGCAATCCTACTTCCGTAGTGATACTGCCTCGGAAACCCAAGGAAGGGTCGCTATGAGTCGGGGTCGACTCGACAGCACATAACAACAACAACAACAACAACAACAACAATTTATATTTCATAAATTATACATGCATTTGTATTTCATTCTTAGAAGAATAGTGGAAAGTCTACACAAAACTAGCTCAACTGTTTATATTTCACTTGTTGACATGCACACATTCTATCAACACTCTTTTATACTGATGGGAAAGAAAAGATTGGGGGGGAAAAAAGCTGTCTTTCCCTTTCCTCTTATGTCATTATTTTCAATGTAAGTAGTTGGATAATACAGGGAAGTAACAGGATTAAGAAAGAATTTGGTAAAGTCTCTTGGTCATTTATGTTTCCCAGAATGCTATTGCATCCTTTTTACATTTGAAACAAATTCTGTTTCAAATGAAAAACATGGCCTCTCAGGATGTCAGTGTCCCCATTTTCTCAGTTGGGAGACATAACACATTCATGCTAGCTTGGAATCTCACTGAACTCCCAGCATTGTGAATCTACAAGAATTGTGTTCTCATGGAACATCACTAATGCTACATTTGAATGGGGCAGTAAGAAAGAGTGAACATACATTTGTGTGTATTTCCTTTGCCATGTTCATGCTTCGTTGTCCCATAAACTTCACTTACAAAATGTAAGTTCAAAGATAAAAGTATTACAGACTTCAAGAAACAGCAAAGCATTAAACCAAGCACAAGGTTTTCTGAACTTAAAGCCCTGTGTGACTGCACAGGTCGCATGCCCTAGCCCTCCTAGAGTAGGGGACTTACTATTATCAGTTCAGCTTCATAAGAAACAGCTATGAAGACACTTAAAATAATAATAATAATTTCCAAGATTTAGCTGCAAACATTCTTATTCAGGAAGAGGAAGGTAAGTTCTAGAATCTATACTTTTGATATGCTCTCTGAGAAACTGTGATGGACTGCCAGGTTTGGGAAGCACCCCTTCCCCCAGAGTATATCCCAGGTCTTTAAATTACTGCTCACCTTCCAGGGACTAGCCCTGGTAGTCAATTGCTTTTCTCTCTTATTTACTCTGTTGCTCAGCATCAAGGTTAACACTGAGGGAAGGGCCAGTTGGAAGGAATAGCAGAATGAAGAAAAGAAACTCTGATGGACCTGTAGGTTGGAAATTAGACGTTATCATCTGCTTGACAGTCTACTTGGTTCCCTGGGCCTCCTGATGTTCAGTTTTTGGTACATCCCCACTCCTATGCTCTGTGATGTGTCTGCAGGAACACTCATAGCATGATGTCAACTTCTTTCCCCCATGTGCTCCCCTTATAGGCTGCTATCTCCATTAATGACCTGCCATTACAACTGACTCCAGATTCTTTTTAACCTTTGACTCCTCTCTCTTTATCTGTTGTTGTTAGATGCCATCAAGTTGGCTCTAACTCATAGCAACCCTATGTGCAACAGAACGAGACATGACCTGGTCCTGCACCAGTCTCACAATCCTTGCTATATCTGAGCTCATCGTTGCAGCCATTGTATGAATCCATCTCATTGAGGGTCTTCCCCTTTTTCGCTGACCCTCTACCTTTACCAAGCATGATATCCTTCTCCAGGGACTGTTCCTTTCTGACTATTGACCAAAGTAGGTGAGACAAAGTCTGGCCATTCTTGCCACTACGGAGCATTCTGGTTGCACTTCTTCCAGGATAGATTCATTATTTCTTCTGGTAGTCCATGATATTTTCAGTATTCTTCACCAACACTATAATTGAAAGGCATCAATTCTTCTTCAGTCTTCATTACTCATTGTCCAGATTTCACATGCATATGAGACTATTGAAAATACTATAGCTAGGGTTAGATATACCTTAATCTTCAAAGTGACATCTTTTGCTCTTCAACGCTTTAAAGAGGTCTTTTGCAGCAGATTTTCCCAGTGCAATACATCTGATTTCTTGACTGCTCCTTCCATGCGTATTGATTATGGATTCAAGTAAAATGAAATCTTGGAGAAATTTAATCTTTTCTCTGTTTATCATGATGTTGCTCATTGGTCCAGTGGGGAGGATTTTGCTTTCTTAATGTTGAAGTGTAATACATACTGCAGACCGTAGTCTTTGATCTTCATCAGTAAGTGCTTCAAGTCCTCTTCACTTTCAGCAAGTGAGGATGTCTCATCTGCATATCACAGGTTGTTAATGAGTCTTCTTTCTATCCTGATGCTGTGTTCTTCTTCATATAGTCCAGCTTCTTGGATTATTTGTTCAACATACAGATGAATGATTATGGTGAAAGGATACAAGCCTTATGCACACCTTCCTGATTTTAAACTATGCAGTGCTCCCTGGTTCTGTTCAAATGACAGCCTCTTGGTACATGTATAGGCTCCACATGAACACAATGAAGTGTTCTGGACTTCCCATTCTTCACAATGTTATCCATAATTTGTTAGGGTCCACATCAAACAAAAATGACTTTGTCATTTAAGACACAGGTAAACATCTTTCTAGTATTCTTTGTTTTCAGCTAAGATGCACTGGACATAGGCAATGACATCCCTCATTCCAAGTCCTCTTCTAAATTCAGCTTGCATTTCTGGAAGTTCCCTGTCAATATACACTGCTGAAACTCAACCCTCATCCCCACCCATTTCTTTTGCTCTCACACTCTTGATAAACCTCCTGTCTCCCCACAACCAGGCTGTGAGGGCCTTACAGATGTTTGACCTGGCATGAAATAGGCTCTCAATAACTGGAGGAAGGAGGAAGGGCAACAAGAAAGAAAGGAGAATATGACCCAAATGAGTCTTGTCCTCCTGTTCCCATCCAGTTCAGCTGGCAGCACATCATCTCTATTGTAGTACCCTAGACAAGTTAGAAGACAATTCAAATCCCCAATAAAATTTTTCAGAAAGATCCCCATTCACAGTTGGCAAAAAAAAAAAAAAAAAAACTAACCCTCTTATAATTGTCTTTGTTCAGCCCTCTCCCTCTGTACCCCAACAGCTGCCTGAACAACTCTAGTGATGGTTTTGATTCTTTATACCTTTTTAATTACCTTCTTGGAGCTATGATTTCTCTTGATAGATCTTTACATTTTAAATATACAATCCTGCTAACCTACTGCAGCACTGCAAGTGGGTAGAAACCAAAGAGAAGAGACAGGAGAAAAAGAGAAACCTGTTTTAAGTTCCCAACATGCTTGTTCCATGCTGTATATTAGACACACCTAGGGAGCTTACAAAAATAACCTGCTCATGCTCCATGGCAGACCCATCAGAAAAGCAGAGGCAGAGCTCAAGTATCTCTAAATAATATTTCTCTCTTTTCTAGTGTCCGTCTCTCTACCGTATCTGGAAACTCCCATCCCTGTAGTTCTTCCTCATCTCTTCTTTACCCTAGTCAATCTAACAATAGAAGCCAAGGAAAGAGACAAGGCATCACCCTTAGAAGTGGAGGAGGGCAGAGGCAGTGCCTACTCATGAAAAGTTTTGTCCATGTTCAAAGATTCATGTCTGCTTTTTCTCCTATGATTAAATGTCTTACTTCTGTGGAGTCCCTATATTAATCATCCAAGCAGAATTTCTTGCCTTGGCTCCCTGTCTGCAAGCCTCAGTACTGAGGTCCTCTTTTATACCACCCCAAACATACCTTTCAGAAAATGGACAATGTATTTTGGTCCCTACTCCCTGTGAACTGACTTTTTACTTCCACCCGGGTCTAGAAACTCTGCCTTCAACTATGTGTGTTCTGCTCACTTACCAGGACCTACTCCTGTTGAAAACAGAATTCCAAATGCCATCAACCCACTGCCAGTGTCTTTCCCTGGTGACTGATGCTGGATCTCTCTCAACTACCTGCCCTTTTTCCATAGGTAAAAATTGGTTGCATCTCAAGTGCTCTTGGTCCCACAGCTCACTGTCCTACATAGATGGCTCTGCACTAATGGAAAGAAAGAGCGTAGATGAAGGGAATGATGGAGAATAGAGAATGCAGAAACTATCTACCTTTAACTAGTTGTAGGGGACATGGTAAAGGGCTTTTACAATAGAGCAATAACATACCCAGAGCAGCCACAGGAATTAATCATCCTTTATATTCTCCTCAGTCATAGGGAGAACTTCAAAGCTGATACTAGCTGTCTGACTTTTTAATCTTATTAACCACCAGAGTAGTTCTACTCCATTATAAAGTTATACTTATTGTAGAGTGATTTTGAATTTCATTTGGACAAAAGAAAAAAGAGATTTTAATCCCATTCAACTTTTTAGGTATTGTACATTCTTATAGGTTGACCAGAACCTTTCTGGTTTCAAAGAAATGAACTCTTAGTGCTCAATCAGTTTCTGAGATATGAATAATAGGAACCAGTCAGACATACCTGAATGCTGATGAGATGCTGAATGTCTGTTATAACTTAACATGATGGTATATAACTCAGAATCAAACACTAAAAAGGAACTGACAAGACTCCTGAATTTCTTCAGTGTGAGGTTCCATGTGTCTTATTCCAGGGCTGAATGGCGATGACTTCCTGGCAGTGGGCCTGGACAATGGCAGCGTGGTTTACAACTATAACCTGGGATCTGGCATAGCAAGTATCAGAAGTGAGCCTCTCAATCTGCGCCTTGGAATACACACGATCCATCTGGGGAGGCTCTTCCAAATGGGCTGGCTGAAGGTAAAGAGTCATGCCTTCATTTGTTCCACAAACGTACTGAGAAGCTACTATATTGTAGGATCTGAGCTAAGGTATAGGTAAAAACAGGCCATGCTGCCTATTCCATGAAGCTCCTAGACTAGTGCACAAAGTAGAGAAATAGAAGGATGATTATAATTTATGAGAATAAATAGGGACAGTGCCTAATACAGGTTAGGATGGGAATGAAGCATTCAGGAAATACCTCCTGGGAAAAGGTGATGTTTAAGTATTGCTTTAAATAAATTACCAGTCGCTATTGAGTCCATTCTGACTCATGGTAATCCCATGTGTGTCAGAGTAGACCAGTGCTCTGTATGCTTTTCAATTGCTGATTTTTCAAAAGTAGATCTCTAGATCTTTCTTCTAAGGCACCTCCAGGTTGAATTGAATGTCAAACTTTAATGTTAGCAGCCAAGCATGTTAACTGTTTGCATAACCCAGGGACTCCCTAAATAAAAAGGAATTAGGAACACAAACAGTGGCCACAGTGTAGACTTAAGAAAGACAAGTAGTTCAGTATGGCTTTGAAGTGAGGAGAAACAAAAGATGTAGCTAGAAGTAGACAGAGTCCATATCAGGGTTTAGATGTTGTTCTGGTTACCTAGTGCCACTCTGACAAGACCACACCACAAATGGGATGGCCTTAACAAACAGGAATTTATTCTCTCACAATTTGGAGGCTTTAAGTGCAAGTTCAAAGTGCCAGGTTCTAGGGGTTGGGTGAAAGCCCCTTAACCTTGGGGTCCACCTCTGCCTCCTGCTCCTGGCCTATGGAGCTAGAGGCATTTCTTCACTCAAACAGCTCAGGCTGACAAGCCCAAGGTTGACAAGTAAAAAGGTACAGTCCCAATATTACCAAACTACATGGCAGGCCATTAACTTAAGTCCATTGTAAGTCCCAAGGTCAGCAGAGCATGGCAAGCTGCTGAACAATGACACAGCTACGTGCAGCGTCAAAGCATGCCAAAAGCTAGAGACCATTCCCCAAGGCTTCTGCTCGTATACCAGAAGCAGACCACATTCCCTAAGGCAGCTACTCACCTGCTCACAGTAGATTCCACCATGGAGTTATTTGATTACCAGTCTCATCATCGGGAGTACTACATCCAGCTGCCCAGCCACTCAACCGAGCCCAGACAAGTTGACACACAAACTGAACTACTACAGATGTTATGCTAAGAAGTGTAGATTTAAAACTACTGGGAAGTTTAAGACTGGAAGTAGAGTACAATGGTCTGATTCCCATTTTTTCAATAAATGACTCTGGTAGTTGTATTAAGAATGGATAGAAAGGAGAGTCAAGACTAAAGGGAGCCTGGAAACCAGAAGGATGCCGACTCCTAATCTTTGAAGAATTGAGTTTTTGATTGAAATGCAAAACCATGACTGCTATAATAATACATCTGTGTTAATGGACACCAGCAGGGCAGCAGAGAATTGAACAGCATAGCTTCCCCATCCGTCTTCAAAATTCAGGTCTTTTAAATTGTTCATGCCAAGTTAATGGGAAAGAAAAAAAAGAATATCTTAACAGTTCACTGTGGGGAATTAATTCTTTTTTTTTAATAGATTTTGAATTTTTTTTCCTTTTAAAGGTAGATGATCATAAAAATAAATCTATCATCTCCCCCGGAAGACTGGTTGGTCTCAATGTCTTCAGTCAATTTTATGTAGGTGGCTACAGCGAGTACCTTCCAGATCTTTTACCAAAAGGAGCTGATTTTAAAAATGGCTTTCAAGGTAAGCCATGGACAGTTTTTGTACTATGTCTACATGTTTCAAATATTTGAGAAAGAACAAAGCTTTTAAAGATTATACTACTAGTTCCAAAAGCCAGCAATCTGGATTGCTCTCTAATCTGACTTTATCAATGTTTGATATTGATCAAAAGTGTTTACTAATTCATTGTTCATTGATCACTTATTACATATGAAGTGTTTGAGATGCTTTAATGAATAAAATAAAGATTTCTGTACTTGTCAATTGGCATTCTAGTTGGGGCACAGTGAAGCAGATTAAAAGCAATAAATGTGATAAATAAGTAAATTTTATGGTAGCATAGTGCCTAAGGCACTTGACTGCTATCCAGAAGGCTGGTGGTTCAAACCCACCAGCCACTCCTCGGAAGGAAGTTTGGGCAATCTATTTCCATAGTGATACTGCCTCGGAAACCCAAGGAGGGTTCACTATGAGTCAGGTCTGAATCGACGGCACCTAACAACAACAACAACAAGGTGATAAAATATATAAAATAAAAGAGTAGAGCATGGTATGGGGGGATTAGAAGTTAGGTGTGGTTTTTTTTGTTTGTTTTTTGTTTTCATATAGGATGCTTTTTAACATAGGGAGAGTAGGGTACACCTCATAGAGTTATGGTAAAAGTTGGAAACTCCATGTGACTTTGAAATGTACTTGATTTAAAAATATCAGACACAGACTGCAGCCAAGTAGTCCATACTACCAATGTATGCCTCACATAGGTCACCACATGCCAAGAGCATTGAGGGTTAATATTGTGCTTGGGCAGGCAATCTTATTGTATAATCTGTCTACCTGTGTTCAAAAAGGAACACAGTCCAGAAACCTCTGGCCTAGATTTCACCTTCCACAATCCAGCCTCAGCATCCCAGCAGAATGGACACACTCTGCAACTCTATTCTGGGCCAGTCCCAGACTAGGTTTTGGCCTGCCCTTGGCCTTCCTGCCTTCCCTTCCAAATAAGCATTCCCTACCACCCCTGGCCATGCACCAATGGGAGAGCTTAGGGACAAGTGGTGTCTGCTACCATCACCTCTTAAAAAAAAAATGTGTGTTGTGGGTGAGGGTAATATAGGAGAAGAATAAATTCAACTGTGCCTTAAAAAATAAAATAGAAACATAGGCTCAGTCCTTCTCTATAGTGCTGATTCATGTTGTTGTTGTTGTTGTTGTTAGGTGCCATCAAGTCAGCTCCAACTCATAGCAACACAACACAAAACAGAACAGAACACTGCCCAGTCCTATGCCAGGTTCACAATCCTTGCTATACCTGACTCCATCATTGCAGCCACTATGTCAAACCATCTCGTTGAGGGCCTTCCTCTTTTTCATTGACCCTCCACTTTACCAAACATAATATCCTTCTCCATGGAATGATCCCTTCTGACAACGTGACCAAAGTAGGTCAGACAGAGTCTAGCCATTCTCGCTTCCAAGGAGCATTCCAGCTGCACTTCTTCGGGGACAGATTTGTTAGTTCTTTTGGTACTTTCAGTCCATGATACTTTCAGAATTCTTCACCAACTCCACAACTCAAAAGCATCAACTCTTCTTAAAAAAAAAAAAAAAAAATCAAACTCACTGCTGTCAAGTCAGATGTGACTCATAGCGACCCCTCCTTGGGTTTCCAAGGAAGTATTGCTGTGGAAGTAGATTGCCCAATCTTCCTTTCGAGGCATGCTGGTGGGTTTGAACCTCCAGCCTTCTGGTTAGCAGTCAAATGCCTTAGACACTACTCCACCAGGTCTTCCTTAATTCATTATACAGCTCTCACATGCATATGAGGCAATCGAAAATGCCATGGCTTGGATTAGGTGCACCTTTGTCTTCAAAGCAACATCTTAGCTCTTCAGCACTTTAAAGAGGTTTTTTGCAGCAGATATGCCAAGTGTGGTACATTGTCTGATGTCTTGACTGCTGCTTCCATTGGTGTTGATTCTGGAACCAAGTAATAGGAAATCTTTGATAGCTTTAATCATTTCTCCATTTATCATGATGCTGCTTATTAGTTCAGTTGTGAGAATTTTTGCTTTCTTTATGTTGAGATTTAATCCATACTGCAGACTGAAGTATTTAATATTTATCAGTAAATGTTTCAAGTCACCCTCACTTTCAGCAAGCAACGATGCCACACTCTTCTAGCTTCTCAGATTATTTACGTATCATACAGATTGCATAAGTATGGTGAAAATATACAACCCTGAAGCACACTTTACCTTATTTTAAACCATACAGTATCCTCTTGTTCTGTTCAAACAAGAGCCTCCTGGTCTATGTACAAGTTCCTCGTGAGCATGGTTAAGCTTTCTAGAATTCCTATTCTTCTCTATGTTATCCACAATTTGTTATGATGCACACAATCAAATGCTTTTGCACAGTCAAAGAACCATAAGTAAACATCTTTCTGGTATTCTTTGTTTTCAGCCAAGATCCATCTGACATCAGCAATGATATCCCTCATTCCATGTCCTCTTCTGAATCCAGCTTGCATTTCTGGAAGTCCTCTGTCAATATACTGCTGCAACCATTTTTGAGTTATCTTCAATAAGACTTTACTTGCATGTGACATTAATGACATTGTTCAATAATTTCCGCATTCTGTGGGATCATCTTTCTTTGGAATGGGTAAAAATATGTATCTCTTCCAGTCATTTGGCAAGGTAGCTGTCTTCCAAATTTCTTGGCATGGATGAGTGAGTGCCTCTAATGGGGCATCCATTTGTTGAAACTTCTCAGTGGGTATTCTGTCAATTCCTGGAGCCTTGTTCTTCACCAATTCCTTCAGTGCAGCTTTGACTTCTTCCTTCAATACCGTTGGTTCTTGATCATATGCCACCTCCTGAAATAGATGAACATCAATTATTTCTTTTGGTACAGTGACTCTGGATTCCTTCCATCTTCTTTTGATGTTTCCTGTATCATTCAGTATTTTGTCCATAGAATCTTTCAATATTGCAACTCGAGGCTTGAATATTTTCCTTCAGTTCTTTCAGCTTGAGAAATATTGAAAGTGTTCTTCCCTTTTGGTTGTCTAACTCCAGGTCTTTGCACATTTCATTATAATAATTGACTTTGTCTTCTGGAACTGCTCTTTGAAACTTTCTGTTCAGCTCTTCTATCTTGTCATTTCTTCCATTTGTTTTAGCTACTTTCCATTCAAGGCCAAGTTTCAGAGTCTCTTCCAACATTCATTTCAGTCTTTTCTTCATTTCCTGTCTTTTTAATGACCTTTTGCTTTCTTCATTGTTGATGTTCTTGATGTCATCCCATCGTTCCTCTGGTTTTCAGTCATTGGTGTCCAATGTATCATGTCTATTCTTTAGATGGTCTCTAAATTCAGGAGAGATATTATCAAGGTCATATTTTGGCTTTTGTGAACTTCTTTCAATTGTCTTCAGCTTCAACTTGAACTTGCATATGAGTAGTTGATAGTCTATTCCACAATCAGCTCCTGGCCTTGTTTTGACTGAAGACATTGAGCTTCTCCATTGCCTCTTTCCACAGATGTAGTCAATCTGATTCCTGTTACAGTCTTTCCTGTGACAAAGTCTATGTGTATAGCTACCATTTATGTTGTTGAAAAAAGGGTGTTTACAATGTATAAGTCATTGGTCTTGCAAAATTCTGCCATGTGATCTCCAGCATCATTTCTATCACCAAGGCTATATTTTCTAACTACCAGTGGTTCTTCTTTATTTTCAACTTTTGCATTTCAAGCACCAGTGATAATCAACACATCTTGATTTCATGTTTGTTCAACTTCAGACTGCAGACGTTGGCAAAAATCTTCAACTTCCTCATCTTTGGCTTTGGTGGTTGGTGCATAAATTGAATAATAGTAGTATTAGCTGATCTTCATTTTAGGCACATAGATATTATTCTATAACTGACAGCCCTGTACTTCAGGATAGATCTTGAAATCTTCTTTGTGATGATGAATGCCACACCATTCCTCTTCAATTTGTCATTCCCAGCATAGTAGATCATATAGCTGTCTGATTCAAAATTGCCAAAACCAGTCCATTTCAGCTCACTAATGCCTAGGATATCGATCTTTATGCGTTCCATTTCATTTTTGACAACTTTCCATTTTCCTAGATTCATACTTCATACATTCCATGTTCCAGTTATTATTGGATGTATGCAGCTGTCTCTTCCCATTTTGAATCACGTCACATCAGCAAATGGAGGTCCCAAAAGCTTTACTCCATCCGTGTCATTAAGGTCTACTCTACTTTGAGTAGGCAGCACTTCTTTAGTCGTATTTTGAGTGCCTTCCGACCTGGAGGGTTCATCTTCTGGCACTGTATCAGACAATGTTTCAGGGCTATTCATAAAGTTTTCCAGTAATATACCAGACAGTGTTTCACTACTGTTCATATTTCACTGGCCAATTCTTTGAGAAGTAGATGGTCCCTTCATTCTTCTGAGTCTGTCTTAGTCTGGAAGCTCCACTGAACCCTATTCACCATGGGTGCTGCTGGTATTTGAAATACCAGTGGCATAGCCTCCAGCCTCACAGCAACATGCAAGCTACCATGGTGTGACAAATGGACAGACAAGTGGTAGGCTGATTAAGAGTAGTTATAAAATCAATATGTACATTGAATAATAGTAATAATATTATTGGTGAGAATAAGCTGTTTGGTGGATCCTAGTCCCAGAACATTTGATCAAGAAGTTGCTCATGATGTTGTCCTCGGTGACTACCCATGACCAGACTACTCCTACCAGAAACAAAGGAGCAAGACTAGGATGGGACACATATCCCTCATAGACAGGAGATGCCATCAAGTGCCATCTTGTGCCTGACATCACCATCCCCACCTGCTCCAACATAATTGTAGGAGGTTATGTACTTGAAGTGTATGAAAGCAATACAGCTAATCCAACCTAATACAAGGTTAAGTTCCAGTGAAAATAATTTCATTCCACCAAGGCCCTCAAAGAAACTTTTTCTTTGAATATGTAATCAGTGCTGA